ATATAGTTAAGATTTGTGCTTTATTTGTGTCTTGTTGTTGCTATCATTATCGTCAAGGCACTTCAGGCTTCAAATTCCTTCAAGTAGTGTTTAGCCACTATACCTGTACTTACAGTGGGGGTTGTGGTGCCAAAATTCTTTCCTCATTATTCTTGCTTCACTTTCAGCTTTCAACAGCCCCTGCTTGTCTATGCCACAGAGATGGTCCTTCTTAATATTCTTATCTCTCCCCCAGCACTATTCTGCTCTTGTTTATTATTCAAAATAGACCCATCTTCTGTAATAAGGTAAACGGAAGTCTGTGTTTTAATGATCAATCACAGCCATAGGCAGACTGTGTTTTACAGTAGCAAGACTGGAATTGTCTACAAATCTCTGCTCCTCTAAATGGCAGCCAAACTGTGCCTTATATCTGTAGTTAGTCTTGTACAGATGATTTTTTGCTCTTTCTGGCAGTGGCATCTGGCCTCTGATTGTTATCCATGTAGGATCCTAGACTCAAGATAGGGTATCCTTCCCCTTTCCCAAGAACCAAAGGTTTTTGCTCTTACTTTTCCCTCGCTGGCAAAGGATCTTCAGCTAGGTCTACCTTTTGCCCACAGGGAGACTGTTTGCCTTCCTTCCCTTTCCCCCAAAAGTGAGTTCTTGTTTTTGTTATGGTTTGGTTTTTTTTTTTTTTTGTCTTGGGATCAAGATGAAAGAAAGTGTTCTGCCCTTCTGAGTGTTACCATTTTCCTAGTACCATCAATCAGCAGCATAAAACTTTTGCTTCTTGTTGGAGAAGGCTCCACAAAAGTGGGCAGGCCTTTGTGCCTCCCAGAAACACATGATTATTTGCTATGTACTGGACTACTAAATGGACCTTCATTTTCTGAACAAGATTTCCCCTGAAGAGCTGGTAATGAAGAGCTGGTAAGCAAGATTTCCCCTGAAGAGCTGGTAAGCATCCATGGAAAAGAACTTACAAATTGTAAATTCTCCTTATGTTTTAGACTCCCAAATATTCTAAATTGACATGCTAATTCATATCTGGGCATTTAAGAATTTGTTAAAATTTTAGTTAATTTATTCTTACCCTCTTGTACATTAGTCACCTCTTTTTCCTATGTTCTGTTAAAGATCAAAGACTTTGTGTGCCCCATCTCTCCTTGGAGGGATCTATCACTCTTTGGCATCCAGTATACTTGGTCACCTTGTAACCTCAAATCTATAATGGGGTCAGGAAAAACTATGGTTTTGTACATTACCTATCTTTTTTTATTTCAATGTTGTGACCAAAGATACATATTTTAAGCTGAAATGGAACTCCACTATTTTTTTAATGTTTATTTTTAAGTAATCTTTGCACCCAACATGGGGCTCAAGCCCACAACCCTGACTGAGATCAAGAGTCATATGCTTTACCGACTAAGCCACAAGGCACCCCTTCAAATACTATTTTTAATCTTTAAGGAACAATTTATAATAGCAATAACTACTTCATTGGAACAAAAATCATTCTAAATTCTCAATTTGTCTCCAAACTCATTAATTAAATTTGGCAATTTTCAGTGAGTAAATAGAAATTGAAATTCAGTAAGGTTTATATAAAACCTGGGAAAAAAATGGGGCAGCCTGGGTGGCTCAGCAGTTCAGTGCCACCTTCTGCCCAGGGCCTATTTTTGGAGACCCGGGATCAAGTCCCACATAGGGCTCCCTGCATGGGGCCTGCTTCTCCCTCTTCCTGTGTCTCTGCCTCTCTCTCTCTGTGTCTCTCATAAATAAATAAATAAAATCTTAAAAAAAAAACCTGGAAAATGGCAAGCTCTTACATAGCAGTTCCTTTGGTCTCCATCACAACTAAATGAAAGTGGGGAGGAAAGGATATGTTGTTTTGTTTTGTTTTGTCTTCCAGAAAGATGCAGAAAAGTTTGTCACCAATCTTCGCCAATGTTCAAAATACTTTTAGTATATGCTTAATATCTAAAGTATTAGAATGCTGCTCCTTCAGAGTCTATGACACATCAAATATTTCCTACAATAGGTTTGGAATATAGCATATAAAATATCAAAACTGGGATCCCTGGGCGGCGCAGCGGTTTGGCGCCTGCCTTTGGCCCAGGGTGCGATCCTGGAGACCCGGGATCGAATCCCACGTCGGGCTCCCGGTGCATGGAGCCTGCTTCTCCCTCTGCCTGTGTCTCTGCCTTGTCTCTGCCTCTCTCTCTGTATGACTATCATAAATAAATAATTAAAAAAAGAAAGAAAGAAAATGTGTTTAAAAAAAAATAAAATAAAATAAAATAAAATATCAAAACTGCATTATTGTCAATATTCACTACCCCAAAGAGTCACAGAGATAGGAAGAATTAAGAGGTAGTCCAGTTCAAACTCCTATGTAATGCAAAAATCTCTCGATGTTCCTGACTCTTCGCCTGCCTATAATGTGGAGAACTCTACATGTGTGAGAGGACAGTCTCTCAATTTTTGAACAAGCCAGTTTTTACAAAGACTTTTCCCATACTAAGTGAAAATGAATGTCTCTAAATTTGCAATAATTTGTTTTAATTTATCATTCCAGAGCTACTTACAGTAAATCTAATCACTTTTTCACTTAAACAGCCTTTAAATACTTGGAAAGAGTTACCCTGTTTCCTTTTCCTTCTTCTCTTCCAAGGCAAAATTTCCTTGTACCATCACCTACCTTTACCTTATGTCCATTACACTACAGTTTTCTAGTTTAGGTCTCCATCTGTGCTCCATCTGTGACCCAAATTCCCTTCTCCAATACCTAAATATGAGATGTTCTAATGTTACATATCCCGCTTTCAATTTTTATTTCTTCTATATTCTCTCTTTGGACAATAATGTCTAAATTCTTGGCCAGGTATCAACTCTATGAATATTATGCTCAAATCTAGCTTTGATATCCCTTAAAATCAGGTGCTAATGCATGTTTCATATCTGTAGAATCTTTCATATGGTGGATCAGTCATCATAGGATTTGTAATTTTTAGGCTGATTATTCCCCTTCTACCAGGGAGAGTGTGTATATGTGTGTGTGTGTGTGTGTATGTGTGTGTAAAAGAGAGAACATATGCCCATGTGTGTATATATAAGGAGAAACTCCGTGGTTTTGGAGTGTAGAAATGTGTTTCCATACAGCAGTTTTGCATTTGTTTCTGCCTGTGTCCAAAATAGTCACTATATTCTGACACATTTTTTTTTTGGCATAAATTCCTGCCATAGTATAAATCCATGCTTCACAGCTACACACACAATTTTTCAGGTAATCATTTTACTCAGTCAAAGCTCCTGAGTAGAGAGAGGCTTCCTCAAAAACTCTCTTGATCAGTAGGCATTGTTTTTCTTCTCCCACGTTTTGCAGGTGACAGCCTATCCAGTGTCAGAGGTTTATTCAAAGATTTCAGCTCCAGATCTGCTCCTTTCCCTACTTCCCCCTACTAAATTAGGTCTAAAATCTCAGCATTTGCCCCACTGAGAACAGTAAACACCAGTCTTGAAGCCTGAGGGCCTAAATTTAATCTGATATTTCCCACAGTCCATTGCAGCATCAATGCTGAAGACACTGCTCTGGCTTTAAGATTCCTCTTTAAATTTCTATCACCCAGAAACTTATCCTATCCTTGTTTTGGACTAAGCTATATATATACATTTACACTTTTTCCTTATAGTTCATCTAGCATTTATATGAGCACGTATTCTGTGTGTGTGTATTTTCTGAATCCAATAGTTGGCAGAGCTAGAACCTCACTGCATTTCCCAATATATGAAGGTTCTGTCTGCTTGACTGTTGCCAGGGAAGGTCAAGCTCTGCATATCAAAAACCATATGCATCACAATACCATCAAAAATCTTCCCATTTTGCCTGTTTGTTGCCATAATTAGTGGGATCCTAACTTCTAGGTTTCCCAAGCATAAAACTTTGGAATCATTTAAATCCAAACTTTCTGTTGGTCTATACATCATCCAATAAGTCATCAAGTTAATTCTACTATTGCAACATTTCACTTAACATTCTAGCAATCTCAGCGATTTACGAATGTAATGAATATGTTTATCTTTCAGAATTTAAGGAAGATTAAAGGAGATAAATAGATCACATACAAAGCACTTCAAGACTAGAGTAAAAGAAGGCATAAATTAGCTACCAACTGACCAAGTCAACTCAGCATTTGCATTTTAATTAGCAATATTTTAGAGATTTCCACAAATTCATGTCATACATCAACTTCAAATGTCTGAATGAAAACTAATCATAGCACCAAATACATCCTTTTCATAGTTTTTATTACCTTCTAATTTTTATTTTATTAGATATGTGTACATATACAGTGTCTGATTTCTCATATAAACTGAAAAATTTGTGTAAATGAGTAAAAATTAATCAAAAATGAATTAATTAGCCAAAATTTAACCCTTATTCTCTGCCAGGAACTTTTTCATATTTTATTTTATTTAATCATTATAGCAACCCTCTAATTAATTATTATTGTTCCAGTTCTACAGAAGAGAAAACTTAGATCCACAAAAGTTAAATAATTTGATAATCACAGCTACAAATAGAGCAGAACCAGGATTTTAACAAACAAAACCTTACTGGAGAGCTGAAAACAAAGTCTACTACATTGTTTTGAATTAATATATCAATGGCTGGGTTGCTCTTCTTTGGAAAGTCTACTTTGTCAAGTCTAGTTTCAAATGTGGTACCCAAAACTAAACTCCAGTTCAGATAATACGTATGGAAAATGTGGTGGGTTTAACTTTCTAGTTACGGAGAGTATATGACTTTCAGTTTAATAATGAAGTAGATCCATCAAGCATGTCACAATGTTGACTCAAATTGAGTTCACACACAAATAAAACAACTGCTTTTTCCATATGAACTACTTATAAATTTTTCTTCTCCATATTATAACTGAGTAGTTGTGTTTTCTTAATCTGGAAAAGACTTAAAATGTATCCCAATTAAATCGCATCTTCTTATTTTTCATCAATAGCAACATGTAGATAATATTATTGAAGACGTAAAAAATATATGCAGTGTCCTGGGGTGTGTGGAGACCAAACAAATTACAGATGCTGTAAATGAACTAAATCAAATTCTTCAGAGAAAAACAGAGGTAAATATTATTTTAGACCTGACATCAATAATTAATTAAGAAGAGTGAAAGAATTTTAAATAAATACTGTGCGTCTGTGTGTGCGTGTGTGTGTGCATATATATTTCAATCATTTGGGGTTAATGGAAACTTGATTCTATTATACCAAAAGGATTTAATTAAATTAAAAGGAAATTTCTTACATCTTTGAAGTTTGTAATTGCAATATATCTTCCAAGTGAGACTGAAATCAATCCTACCATCCTACCTAGAGGAATATGCTTATATAATAACATTCAAAGGCTAGTGTGTATATAGACTATTAATGGTTCTCATACACCCAGTATATGCAGGGGTAAGTATTCATGCTTATATTGACAAACATACATATAGAAAAGAAAAGACCAGTTTTTGTGCTATCTTTGGTTGAATTTGCAATGCACACTGCTTATATTATCCCAGAGATGCAAATAATAGCCTGGTTTTTTTTTTCAGTTTAAAAAATAAGTATTATGTGATTCTTTTAAAAATCTCAGAAATCTGATGTAGAATTACAGGTGTGATTATTGCCCAATAAAAAGATTAGGATATCTGGTCACAATAAATCAATTCAATCTTGTTATTAGTTTAGCAAATGATGAAGCAGAAAGATATGATGATGAGAATAATAACTAATATTTGATGGTGCATTGCAATAATAAAAGAGTTTCACTTATTATACCACTTTTATTTTAACTCATCCTCATATCAATGCCATGAAATTGGTATTTTAATGTTAATTTTATTATTAAAATCTGATGCCTATGCACGCCTAGGTGGCTCAGCAGTTGAGCGTCTGCCTTTGATTCAGGGCATGATCCTGGGATCTGGGATTGAGTTCCACATTGGGCTCCTTGCAGGAAGCCTGCTTCTCCTGCTGCCTGTGTCTCTGCCTCTCTCTCTCTCTCTCTCTCTCTCTAATGAATAGACAAATAAGATCTTTAAAAATAAATAAAATCTGATGTCTAGAATGCTTGTGTAAAAAGGATTAATAAGTGGCAAAAAAAAAGAGATTTGAACCCAAGCCGCTTCCTCAATATATGTGAACTTTCATAACAGAGAGTGATTACATGTATTCCTTATCTGCCCAAAGAGGAACAGCACAGATTATACTACCTTGAATATGCCAGCCTTGAAATTTCAAAGAGATTGATTTAGAAAGTGGACAATTATATTAGTATATATAAATCATCATCATTGTTTCAAATAAGTGAAAAAAATCAGTAATTTCTTAATGTTGGATTTTCTATTATCTTAATTAGAACTTGTTTTTGTAATTAGAGAGTAATAATGAATATAGAAATTTAAATACCTTGTTGGTATTACATAGTGACAGTGATGACTCATTTGCAGTGGAATCATCCCACCAAAAAATTTCCTAGATAACATCCATTCAAAGCTAAAATCCCAGAGCAAAGAAGAAATCAAAATTTAAATAATATAATCAATAAATACCAAAATTTGATGTCTGAAGTTAATAACTTTATTTCCTTACATTTTTCTTAATGGGAAAATATCTACTCTTATACCTTCCAACTTATAGTGGAAAATGAAGTAACTATGTAGTCTCCAAGGCTGTTTTTTTATGTACATATTAATATCCATAGTCTTCTCAAATGATAACAAGGAAAAAATTTGAAAATAAATTTTCACTTAATCTGGTCATATTTTTTATTCTATGTCAGTGTGGGGAAATGGCTGTATGTTATAAAAATAAGTATTTTGATGAACTCAAGAACTTAAGAATTAAGAATTATATGATGCTAAGAGCATTCCAATAGGTGAAGTTATGTCAGGATAACAGGGTAGTGAGAGTTAATTTTCCACAAGCAACTAGTTTCTCTTAAATAATCACATTTGGGAAACATTATAAGCACTTAGAGCTGATAATCAAATACAAAGAGCTTAGGGTCATAAATATATGATTTGAACTCAATATCTACCAGTCTTTAGCTGAATATCTTTGGGAAAATTAATTCACATCTCTGAGTTTCAGCTTTCTTCATTGCATGTATGCATGCACGCATAAAAAATTAAATAAATAAATAACAGAAATTGCAGGGTTCCTATGAGCATTATAAATAACGTTAGTAAAGGTCCAGATGATAGTTTCTTGCATGAGTCATTATCATTACTGGAGGTAGTGGGGATGGTGCTGGTGGTAGTTTTTGAGACTCCTCCCCATGTAACCTACATGAATCATATCACAAATGTAGTTATACTCTTGTTCATGCTCTCATTCAGTATTGGAAACAATTTTCCATCCTTCAATATTATGTTCCAGAATCTCACATAATGTATCTCCATTTCATGTTCACACAATAAATGAAACACAAAGTGAAAAATATGGTCTTAAACATTGTGCTGTAGGTGGATGTCATGGTGATTTTAAAATACAAATTTATATTTCTGAATAAACTGAATTGTAGTTAAGTCAGGCTAACATCTTTAATAGTCTCAGCCACATGGAAGGGGTGAAGATCTTACATGTAGTTGTTAAGCCTAGTAATTGAAACTATGCTCAGATGAAATATTATACCTAAGAGAAACGCTTCTGAAAAGGTTTATGTGAACAATGCTTTTAAGTGAAAAGCTGTATATAAATTTAATTGCATTTTAAACATGGTAGAAGTGTTTTCTCTGTAAAGGAATATTGTAGAAAGTTCTTTGTTATAAGAAAACAATTATTCCTTAATTTGTTTGAGAATCTGGGGTTTCATTAATTAAAAGCGAACTTCTCCAAGCAAAAAATTTTAAAAATTTAATGTCAATTAAAGTGGATCATATTGGGGCACCATGTTTAAGTGTCTGCCTTCAGCTCAGGTGATGGTCTCCGGGTCCTGGGATTGAGCTCCACCATGGGGCTCCCAGCTTAGCTCAGCGGAGAGTTGGGTTCTCCCTCTCTTTCTTACCCTCCCTGCCCCATTCTTGTTCTTTCTCTCACTAGCCCGCTCTCTCTAATAAATAAATAAAATCTTTTTTAAAAATGGATTATATTAGAAAATGTGTTTGCTTTTGGACTGAAATTTTATTTTTAGTGAATCTGTGAATCACTTACATAGTTTTCATGATAATGAATTTATCACTAGCACTTTCTAAACCACTTAAGTAATTCTATACCTCCTACAAAAATAAATGCAAATAAACAAATGAGCAAATAAATAAATAAAACCATACTAATGGATATGAACTGAAATGACAACAGAAAATAAAATTTCAGACAGTACATTTTTTTAAATTTAGGATATGGTTCCAAGTGTTTTACTATCAGTTTCTAAAAATCTCCTAAAAATAATTAAACTATATTATGAGTTTGCATAATTCTGCCTACTTCCATCCAGCCCTCTTTTCACTGTAGTCCAAAGGTTACAACTGAGTGATTGCTAATAATAAGAATTGAGCATATTAAACAAATAATTAAAATGAATTTATTTCAAAAAATCATTCACTGCTATGGAAAGGGAATTAAGTTTAGCCAATAAATATAAAGCTACTTCAATATACTAAACAGGCTGAACTTACTCTAAATTTTTTTCAGTCAAAAAAACTAGATTGTTTATTAAAACATTCAGAAGGTTTTTCTTTCATCTTACAATTTAGCTTCCCCCCGTTTATTAAGCAATATTGATGTATGACCTCAATAAACATTTTGTCTTTTTACCGTGTCAGAGAAATTTCAATGTTCTCTAAACATTTCAATGTTTAGATCTGGATATTATCAGTTTGATTGTTTTTTTGAGTTTGTTTTCTAAATAACAACTGTATCTTTGTACTTGTTTTTCTTTTTTAGAATTTTCATCAAAATTCAGAGACTTCAGCAAAAGGTAAAACATGCACGTACCCAAATTAAAAAAAAAACAAGTTACAGAATACAAATAATTTAATTTCTTTTCAATTTTTCATCCAAATACTAAGGTAACACATATACAGAAATATTGTTTGAAGTGAAAATGCACTGCTAAAACTTTTTACTGATGGAAACGATTATTCGGCAAGTGAATAAAACTTCACACTCTGAACCTTTAGCCTGACATTTTTAAGAAATGCGAAAAGTCAAGAGATCTGTAAAAATGAAAGGAATACAGAAAATATTCTTATAACCATTCTAAGAAACTATAAAATTTTATTTAGCTAATTATATATTGATGTAAAAGAAGAGTCAGAAAAGTAGCAACTGTCTTTCTTTAAAGTCAATAATTTCGTATTTAAATTCAAACTCTATTTGAAAGTCCAATCTAACATAATATGTAGGAGGATTAGGTTCTGGAATAATTACGATTCACAGAGACTCAGACTATAAAACTGCAAGCCACAGGAGGACTTTGCCTCTACAGAAAAATAGTGGAGGAGTAATAGTGTGATGCAGAACAAAAGACCTGGCTTTTGAAATCTGGTTAATTTCAACTTTGCCACTTTTTGACTCTGTGATCTTAGAAATTTAATTCTTTGATCCTAAATTCCCCTAATATGCACAGAAGACATGATAGTATTTAATGTGCAAGGTGTGGTCAGAGCTGTTCTGTTTGCAAAAGCAAATGGTATTTGGCATATGAACAGTGAGCATCTTCAAGGAAACGGATTCACCTATGTTCAACTAACACTCTAGGTTTACAGGTCACAGTGAACCGCAAATGATAACCCCAATCTGCCCTCCAAGCCTTAATCTTTTTAGGACAAAGCTATATGCAGAGGGTTATCCTCTCAACCCTAATTCCCACCACTCAAACGAAGACAATTACATTTGAAGAAATTATCTACCTCACATCACAAAGGAAAAGGGATGGCAGAAGACATGGAGAAAAAACAAACTGCTAGTGCAAAAAACCCCTGTTCCAGGAATTCCTAAACTCCAGAACACCATTAAGGAAGGGACAAGATAGATATCCCCTAACAATATCACTAACACCGAGTCTAAGTGACAGAATGAGGAGTTAACAAGCTGGAGGTATGCCTATATGGAATTGGACCTCTCTTCCTTTCTTTTAGGAATGTTGGAATAAAAATCTCTTCATCCCATATTCCTCAGGGGATGAGATATAAAATCCCACAAAACTGTGTAAGAATGGTCCCAAAGGTTTATATTCAATGCTAAATCATCACAGGTTCTTTTTTTTAATTTTTTTATTATTTTTTTTCTTTATGATAGTCACACAGAGAGAGAGAGAGGCAGAGACACAGGCAGAGGGAGAAGCAGGCTCCATGCACCGGGAGCCCGATGTGGGATTCGATCCCGGGTCTCCAGGATCGCGCCCTGGGCCAAAGGCAGGCACCAAACACCACTGCGCCACCCAGGGATCCCTCATCACAGGTTCTAATTAATGTATTTTAACCAAATATATATTTGTCACTGTTTCTCAATTTTATGATACTATAACTGGTTCCCCAGAGTAAAACCAGGTGTGGTAAACATCATTACTCCGTATTTCACCACCAAGCTCATCTTGAGTCCCTAGTACATTTCTGACATTTGAAATGGACTCTTCATCCAGTTTTGGAAGTAATGCTACATAACGCATAAGCACGCATCTCTATGCTACCTCAGAGAAGCAATTTATGACCAAGAACTGTATCTCTGCACAAAAAGTCAAGAGTAGAGTTTGAGTCATTATCCAAATGATCATGACTTCCCAAAATACGTGCTGGGGCCTAAATTAATAAGATCTCTAACCCAACTTTATGATTTATTTTAGAGGTGTATTCATTTGCACCAGGTTGGGAATTATTAACAAGAAGTTTGTACTTCCTGCTTCGGAGGGCCAACATCACAATGTGGTGACTGGGAAACATGTTTCTATAAATCTGTAATTCCCTGCCTCCTGTTGCTCAGTACAATCCCTGTTGGTTGGCCTCCAGAGTGTCATGAGTCCTCTTTAAAAACTATTTCTGCGCTGCTTTGGTCTTCTGTTTTATTAATTGCCACTTGCTGATTTCTCAGAGAATTTTAATTAGAGCTCTTTCATGCTGCTTGTCCCCTCAGACTGTTTCAACAAAGGACGCCATTTTAAGCAAAATTTGGCCATTTTATACATTTTTGTACGAGTTTATAAATGAGTGATTAATAGCATGTGCCGAACAACAACAACAAATGCCTAATTATGGACAGACCTACTTGAGAGGCAGGCTGTGGGAAGAGGCTCCATGCTGAAATCGGTCTGTTTTTTGAGTAGCCAAGTTGTCTGGTATTGGAACGCTGCAGACTACTGGCGAGAAAAGCTGGGTCTTTTGTGTTATCCTCCTTGCAAAACAACTAGAAACTACAAGCAATTTAGGTTTCAGAAATAACCTGAGGAGGGAGTGCGTGTGTTTGCGCAAACAACGGCAGTGCGTGATCTGACCGGGCACACATCAAATTAAACCAAATCACGACCGGTTTTAAGCACGTAATTTCTTTTTTTTTTTTAATCTTTTTTTTTTAATTTTTATTTATTTATGATAGTCACACACACAGAGAGAGGGAGAGAGAGAGGCAGAGACACAGGCAGAGGGAGAAGCAGGCTCCATGCACCGGGAGCCCGACGTGGGATTCGATCCCGGGTCACCAGGATCGCGCCCTGGGCCAAAGGCAGGCGCCAAACCGATGCGCCACCCAGGGATCCCAAGCACGTAATTTCTAACGACGTGCTTACTCGAGCTTCCCGAGACGCCTCAGCTGCCTGGGGATTCGGCCATAGGGCTCTCCTCTGAGGAGTTGGGTAGCTCTGCGCAGGCGCAGAAGTGTGCTGAGGGCGGGGCTGCGTGCCGCAGGGGTGACTGGGACGCCATCTCTGACGGAAGAGAACCCTGTCCTTCCGGGTCGTCGGGTGGAGGCGGAGTCTGGAACCTGGAGAAGAACTGGGGTCCAGGCTGGACCGGTACGGAGGCAGGGCCTTGCGGCACCACGTCTACCTCATCCAGCGCGCCCAGTACCGCGTGGACGTCTTCTCCAAAAAGGATTGCACACCGGCTCCTGTAGGCGGCAAACGGGCTAAGCTTGGGGTTGAAGCTTACTAAAATCGAACGTTCCTCCTCCGTGACCCGCGCGGTAGAAACCGCTGACGTCATCGGCAGACACGTGCAAAGTCAGCACAGGTTTGCTGAGGGAAGGCGCCGCCATCTAGCCTAAGGAGCCAGCCAGGCTTGCCACATCTCACTGGAAGCCGGAGAGGGAGGATATTACAGAAACAGAGCCCGAGGGAGCTGTTCTCCCAATCCGCGTCCACCCAGCAGATGCCTGGTAGTAGCACAGCAGTTCTGAGATGTGCTGTGCCATCTTCTGCCACCTTGTGTGTCTGGCACCACAGTTCCTCCACGGGCCTGGCTCCACCCCTCCCCCGCAGTACCCACTTGGTGGTCGCGCCCACTGGCCAAGTAGCGCTCCAGACCTCTGAGACACAGGGTTCAGGCCTCCTGACTAGATCTCCCGCTTCTGGGGGGTGGGTATGGGGGCCTCAAGGCCGCCTCACCTCAGCACAGTGGGCACCACCAAGGAACACAGATTCCATCTTTGTCTTCCCTCCACAGGCTAAGCTGTGGTTCCACTTATTTTTTTCCGGGGCGAAGTGGCAGAAAAGTAGAAATACTGAAGATGTGGCATTTCAGTATGTTCTTCTGGCCCAGGATGGGAAAGGATAGCATTCAGGGCAGATATTTCTCTCTTCGGGTTTTTCTACCTTATCCTCGTCTATAGAAGGAAACTGTAAGAGTTAAGGAGGCCTATGTCGACGATTGAATGAAGCCTGACAGATGCTGTATTAGGACGAAGGGACCAAGGGGTCTTTGACCGTGAGCACAGCTGACCGTGCCACCCCACCGGGGGCTCCTTGAGCCAAGCCCAATCAGGCATGACTGAGGAGGGCAACTGAGCTTCCATTCACAACTTATTTTGCTTTATACATTCTTTTCATTTCCTAAAACCCTTTTATCACTTAAATATTTTTCAAAGATTTTCCTGATCTGGGTTAAAAAAATAATAATTTTTGAGCTTTTATATTTGCTTACTCATTTAACTTCTGAAACACTGCTATTGTGGAATATTAAAACAAAAACAGTCGCAAGTCGTGAGTATATTAATGCATTTAAAATATCAGTAGTGAAAAAAAAAAAACAACAACAACAAAATATCAGTAGTGAGAATTATTCACTGGCCCAATTAAAAGGTCTGACCCTGAACTCCACTCCTACGATAACATTCATCATCCTCCTAAGCTTCTCTGTTGTTATAGCACCATCTTTCCTGATTTTTTTTTTTCCTTTCTTGATTTTGATTCAAAGTCCACTGTCTTGTGCTACCTGGCCCATTTCATCAGTCTCTTCTACTTCCTTCATCTTTGGATAGGAGTTTTTCCAGGAAAAAGAGTTTATTGGAAGAAAGCCAGAAAAGTTTACCTTAAATTTAGTGATTAAGTTTCTTCATATGGTCTACGAAAAGTTGGCATGCCTTCATTTAGTACACACTTGAGAGCTATTAGCCCCGGTACTTAGTCTTATTTTTTTTTTTTTCATTTTTTCTTCCTCCATGACAAGTCACTTTTAGGAATAATCAATAAACTCCCTTTAAATAGCTAATAGTAAAACTTCAGCAAGGATTTGATTTTGAAGGGTTTTAGTAAGCTTCATAAATTTTTCATTTCAAGCTTATTTCAGATCCCAGCCAGGTACTATTACTATTCTCTTTTTACAGCAGCATAATGTATATGATTAGTGTCAAGTTAATGGTAAACACCGTAGCATAGTCAAATTTATTATGATTAATTTTAAGTGGGGTTTGTTTGAAGTACTTACAAGCCATATAGAAAACATATTCCTTCTTGGGAAATTAATCCTAAACAATCATAAACTAGACAAAAAATATTGCAAATGACAGAATACCAAATTAATAATCCAAAAGTCTGATTTTTGATTAAAGGCCATGCGCCAAGATTTCTGCAACAGAAGATATGAAAGCTTATTGATTATCTACACTACTATCAGCTGCTTCAGGCTACATACAGAGGCACAGATGGCTAATTGGCTCTAGTTGGTGGATGGCCATTTTAATTAAATTTTATTAAAAATTTAGGGCAGCCTGGGTGGCTCAGCGCGGTTTGGTGCTGCCTTCAGCCCAGGGCGTGATCCTGGAGTCCCGGGATTGAGTCCCCCATTGGGTTCCCTGCATGGAGCCTGCTTCTCCCTCTCCCTGTGTTTCTGCCCTTCTCTCTCTCTCTCTCTCTCTCTCTCTCTCTCTCTCTGTCTCTCATGAATAAATAAATCTTTTTTTAAAATTTTATTTAAAATTTATAGTAAGAAATTTCAAAACTGTAATTGATGGCTTATAATAAGTATGGCCCTTCAAAGATGACCTGATTTCTATCTTTTTTCCCCCTTAGGCTTGATAGAGAGAGTGACAACTGCACTATCCAGGTCCATCTACCAGCTTATCAGTGTCTATTGCTGCAGCTTTTATGCAGATTTCCAGCCTCTAAATATGCCCAATGACATTTCCTATGTAAATCCTGGGCTCCATTCCCACCTTAGCTTCACAGTGTATGCAGTTCACAACATTCCAGAGACTTGGGTGCACAGGTGAGTGGTGGTTAAGTTTTCATAAAAATGCTAATTTTCACATGGTTTCTAATTAGAATATAATTTGTCTTGTTCTTATTTGCAGGAGCAAATATTTCATGAAATTTTGACACTTAACCACTGTAGATTTATCTTAAAACCATTTTTAAAAACTTCATTCCCAGATGCACATTCATTTTCTCTCAAGTCTTCAAGTCTTCCCATTCTCCATATTAAAAATAGCTGCTTATTGCCAGTATATCATTATGGAAACAGTAAATGCTCATCCTATTTAGTGATTGCCCTAATTCTTTTTACATTTGAATTTAAACGACCAATGCTAATTAATAGAACAGAGAGAGAGAAAGCACACACACAGAAGTACTTAATAGAAAAAAAACCACTCTGATACCCATCAAGTTGTGAGTGGTAGATATTTTGTGAAATTAGTACCTTGATAAAGTGGGAATTAGCCAAGAGTTATTTCAGTTACAATGGAAATTAACCACAATTATGTGTGGAGCATCGCTAGATTTTAGGTTGGCTCTATTATGCAGTATTTTTTTTTGAATAACATAATTAGATTAATATAATCATTATTTTAAACTCCTTATGGATTTAATCTATAAGAGAATGTGGATTAAATCAATTAAAGTTGATAGAGAATAGCAACTTGTAAATGGATTTATTGTACCCACTGCATTTAGCATCTCAGAGAAAAGCTGAAACCATTTCAGTAAAATGAAAAAAATTACTGTATGTGTTTTTGCAAGTAACTGACCTGTACAAACAGTTATAAAGTTAATTAGAAAGAAAAATTTACCTTTGGGGTGCCTAGGTGGCTCAGTTGGTTAAGCATTTGCCTTCAGCTCAGCTCATGATCCTGGAGTCCTGGATCAGGCCCCATATCGGGCTCCTGGCTCAGCAGGGAGTCTGCTTCTCCCTTTGCCCTTCAACCCTCTCCTGCTCTCTCTCGCTTGCTCACTCTGTCTTTCAAATAAAAAAAAACAAAAACAAAAATTTACCTTTGTATGTAAAAAACACTACCTATCTACATATAAACATATTTCTTTATATCCATGAGATGAGGGGTGTCTGGTGTCTCAGTCAGTTTAGAGTGTGACTTTGCATCAAGCCATGATCTCAGGATCCTGGGATCCAGTCCTATGCAGGCTCCCCAGTCAGTAGGGGATGGGGTTATCCCTCCCCCTCAGCCTCTCCCCCCATTTGTGTGTGTGCTCTCTTTGTCAAATAAATAAATAAAAGCTTCAGAAATCAATCAATCATTCCATCCATCCATGGGATGAGTATGTATAAAACACTATCTACCTATCTACACATACACATATGTTTTTAAATACATGGGTTGATTCTTTTATGGCTTTTCTTTCTTAATTTTATGAAAATTTAAAGGCCCTATGTATAATAAACTGCTACTCTAATGAATGTTTTCTTACAATATTTAAGCCATTAGTACATATTTATTAATTTTAACTAACATGGAAAAACTGTGTAGCCAGAAAAATACAGATGAAGCTATATATGAAGCCTATGTTTATATATGATACAACAGTGTTATTTTTTCCATTATTTTTCTATTCTCTGCTTCACTTATCTCTGCTGTAATATTTATTATTTTCTTTCCTTTTCGAACATTGGATTTAGTTTGTTATTCTTTTTCTAGGTTCTTCAAAATAAAGTTATGTTATTTTTGCATTTCTTCTTTGAATGTAAGAATGCATTGCTATAAATTTCTCTCAATACTGTTTTTGTGGCATCTCATAAGTTTGGTATGGTGTGGGTTCATTTTCATTTGTATCAAAATATTTTCTAATTTCCCATTTGATATTATTTGACCCATTGTTCAAAAGTGTTAATTTCTATAAATTTGTTAATTTTCCAGTTTTCTTTCTGCTATTGATTTCTAGCTCTCTCCCATTATGGTCAGAAAATACATGCGGTATGATTTCAGCCTTTTCAAGTTTGTTAAGACTTGTTTTGTGACCTAACACTTGATCTATGCTAAAGAATGTTCCATGTGTTCTTCAGAAGCATGTGTATTCTCCTGCTGTTGGGTAGAATGTTTTGTATTTATCTGTTAGGTTCAATCTGGTTGTTCTATATATTATTAAAAGTGGGCTATTTAAATCTTATACTATTATTGTGTTGCTGTCTATTTCTTTCTTCAGTTCTGTCAATGTTTGCTTCATATATTTGCTCCAATTTGGGGTGCATATATACTTATTATTGTTATATCCTCATGATGAATTGACATTTTATCATTATATAATGTCCATCTTTATCTCGTTACATTTTTTTACTTAAGGTCTATCGTGTTCTATGTGTGTAAGGCAGCTTCTACTGTCTTGATTGTCATTTGCATGGAGTATCTTCTTCTGTCCTTTCACTTTCAGCCTATATGTGCCCTTAAATCTAAAGTGAGTCTCTGTAGGCAGCATATGATTGGATCTTGTTTTTTTATTCATTCAGCTATGCTATATCTTTTGTTTGTGGAGTTTAATCCATTTCCATTTAAGGTAATTAATGATAGAAAAGGACTTAACTCTTGCCATTTTTTCCACTGCTTTCTATTCTTTTCCTCTCTTGCTATCTTCTTTTGTGTTTTGTTGATTATTCGTAATGACATACTTTGATTCCTTTATTTTCTTTGGTGATCTTCTGTAGGTAGACATTTTATTTGTGGTGACCATGGGCCTTATATAAAGCATGTTATATTTGAAACACTCTTTGTTAAGCAGATAACAATTTCAGTCACATGCAAAAACTCTATTCTTTTGTCCACTCACACTGATATTATTGATATCACAAATTATATCATTTTGTTTTTACGTATTTTTAATAATAAATTTATTTTTTATTGGTGTTCAATTTGCCAACATACAGAATAACACCTAATGGTTTATCTATCTTATTAATTCTTTCAAAGAACCAACTCCTGGTTTTGTTGATCTGTTCCACAGTTCTTCTGGTCTTGATTTTGTTGAGTTCTGCTCAAATCTTTATTAACTCTCTTCTTCTGCTGGGTGTAGGATCTATTTGCTGTTTTTTCTCTAGCTCCTTTATGTGTAAGGTTAGCTTTTGTATTTGAGTTCTTTCCAGTTTTTGAATGGATGCTTGTATTGCGATGTATTTCCCCCTCAGGACTGCTTGTACTGCATCCCAAAGATTTTGAATGTTTGTATCTTCATTCTCATTAGTTTCCATGAATCTTTTTAATTCTTCCTTAATTTCCTGGTTGACCCTTTTATCTTTTAGCAGGATGGTCCTTAACGTCCACGTGTTTGAAGTCCTTCCAAACTTCTTGCTGTGATTTAGTTCTAATTTCAAGGCATTGTGATCTGAGAATATGCAGGGGACGATCCCAATCTTTTGGTATCGGTTCAGACCTGATTTGTGACCCAGTATGTGGTCTATTCTGGAGAAAGTTCCATGTGCACTTGAGAAGAATGTGTATTCAGCTGAGTTTGGATGTAAAGTTCTGTAGATATCTGTGAAATCCATCTGGTCCAGTGTATCATTTAAAGCTCTCGTTTCTTTGGAGATGTTGTGTTTAGAAGACCTATTGAGTGTAGAAAGTGCTAGATTGAAGTCACCAAGTATAAGTGTATTATTATCTAAGTATGTCTTGACTTTGGTTATTAATTGATATATTTGGCAGCTTCCACATTCGGGACATATATATTGAGGATTGTTAAGTCCTCTCATCGGATAGATCCTTTAAGTATGATATAGTGTCCCTCTTCATCTCTTACTACAGTCTTCGGGGTAAAGTTTAGTTTATCTGATATAAGGATGACTACCCCTGCTTTCTTTTAGGACCATTTGAATGGTAAATGGTTCTCCAACCTTTTATTTTCAGGTTGTAGGTGTCCTTCTGTCTAAAATGAGTCTCTTGTAGACAATAAATAGATAGGTCCTGCTTTTTTTATCCAGTCTGAAACCCTGAGCCTTTGGATGGGGTCATTAGGCCCGTTCACGTTCAGAGTTACTATTGAAAGATAGGAGTTTAGTGTCATCATGATATCTATTCAGTCCTTGTTTTTGTGGATTGTTCCACTGGACTTCTTCTTAAAGGGGAATTTTGAGAGTCCCCCTTAAAATTTCTTGCAGAGCTGGTTTGGAGGTCACATATTCTTTCAGTTCCTGCCTGTCTTGGAAGCTCTTTATCTCTCCTTCCATTCTGAATGAGAGCCTTGCTGGATAAAGTATTCTTGGTTGCATGTTTTTCTCATTTAGGACCCTGAGTATATCCTGCCAGCCCTTCCTGGCCTGCCAGGTCTCTGTGGAGAGGTCTGCTGTTACCCTAATAGTCCTCCCCATAAAAGTCAGGGATTTCTTGTCTCTTGCTGCTTTAAGGATCTTCTCTTTATCTTTGGAATTTGCAAGCTTCACTATTAAATGTCGAGGTGTTGAACAATTTTTATTGATTTTAGGGGGGATCTCTCTATTTCCTGGATCTGAATGCTTATTTCCCTTCCCAGATTAGGTTAGTTTTCAGCTATGATTTGTTCAAATACATATTCAGGCCCTCTGTCCCTTTTGGCGCCCCCGGGAACCCCAATTAAACGTAGGTTTTTCTTCCTCAGGCTGTCATTTATTTCCCTTAATCCATCCTCATGGTCTTTTAATTGATTGTCTCTTTTTTCCTCAGTTTCCCTCTTTGCCATCAACTTGTCTTCTATGTTACTCACTTGTTCTTCCACCTCGTTAACCCTCGTCGTTAGGACTTCTAGTTTGGATTGCATCTCATTCAATTGATTTTTAATTTCTGCCTGATTGGATCTAAATTCTGCAGTCATGAAGTCTCGTGAGTCCTTAATGCTTTTTTCTAGAGCCACCAGTAGCTGTATAATAGTGCTTCTGAATTGGCTTTCTGACATTGAATTGTAGTCCAGATTTTGTAACTCTGTGGGAGAGAGGGCTGTTTCTGATTCTTTCTTTTGAGGTAAGGTTTTCCTTCTAGTGATTTTGCTCAGTGCAGAGTGGCCAAAAACAAATTGTATTGGGAAAAGGAGAAAAAGAGAGGAGAGAAAGAAGGAAAGAAAAGAGAAAAAGAAAAAAGGAAGAAAAAAAGGAAAAAAGAAAGAAAAATGGGTGGGGGGAGCAAACAGAAAGCAAAAAAAAAAAAAAAAAAAAACGGGGAATATCTTCTGTTGTCCGTCTAGCTGGTCTTCTGGGGGAGGAGCCTGTTGTGCTGATTTTCAGGTGTTAGCACTTGGGGGAGCTGCTCTGCCCCCTGCCTGGTTCAGGGCTCAGTGGGGGTTGTTTACCCCGTGAGGCCCCAGGAGGAACAACCGCAGTGGCGTTGGCCAGCTCTGGAGCCCTGGAGTCAGCCCCCGCAGTAACTACAGACTCTCCGTCTGCAGGGCCTGGAGGCTCCAGGGCGGGGCCGCTGATCTGCTCAGCTCCGGGCAGGAGCGTTCTTGCTGTCCTGGGCCCTCCCGGCCTCTGCCTGTCCTGGGGGGAGGCTGGATCCTGGGCTGTGTCCCGGCGCCCTGTGCTTCGGGGCCTGCGCTGGTGGATTCGCGCTCCTGCCCCGCAGCCCCCTCCACAGAGCCGCCGCCCGAGCCCCTCGGAGCTGCTCCGGGTCCCACCTTGCGCGCTGCAGCCCTTAGGGAGCTCGGCGCACTCTCCCCGGGGCCCAGGTGTCTGTTAGTGTCCCAGGGAGCCCGAGGGCATCCCCGCCCTCCTGGGTCCTGCTCCAACTCCCTGCGAGCCCCTTTCCCCCGGGAAGGTTGGTGCAGCTCCTGCTTCTCCGGGACGGGGCTCTCCTGTCCTGGGGACACTCGCCCCGGCCTCAGCCCGGCTCCTCGCGGGGCCCCTCCCCCTTAGAGGCCTTTTGTTTCTTTATTTCTTTTTCCCCGTCTTCCTACCTTGATAGAAGCGCGAACTCTTCTCACCATAGCATTCCTGCTGTTCTCTCTTTAAATCTCAGGCTGAATTTGTAGATTTTCAGGATGATTTGAAGGTTATCTGGGTAATTTGGTGGGGACAGGTGACTTGGGGACCTTACTCTTCCGCCATCTTGCCCCTCCCCCCTGTTTTTACATATTTTTATGATTATAGTTTTTTAACATTGTGTGCTTTACATTCTATACCAGAGTTTAGTTGTTTATGCACCATTACTAAAGTGTTTTACTGTATTCTGTATTCATCTACATATTTATTTATCCTTACCAGTGACCTTTGTACTTTTTGTATGCTTTTGTGTTGCTATCTAGCTAACATCTTTTCATTTCAACTTTAAAGGACTGCTTTTAGCCTTCTTGTAAATCAGGAGTCAATGTGATGAAATTCCTCAGGTTTTATTTATCTGGGAAAGTATTTCTTTCTCCTTTATTTTTGAAGGACACTTTTGCCAGGTATAATATTCTTTTTATTTATTTATTTATTTTTATTTTTTATTTAAGATTTTATTTATTCATGAGAGAGACACACACACACACACACACACACAGAGGCAGAAACTCGGGCAGAGGGAGAATCAGGCTCCATGCAGGGAGCCTGATGTGGGACTCTATCCCAGGTCTGCAGGATCAGGCCCTGGGGTGAAGGCAGCACTAAACCACTGAGCCACCCAGGCTTCCCAGATATAATATTCTTGATTAGCAATATTTTCTTTCAGAATTTTAAATATATATCACCCTACCTCCTTCTGGCCTTCAAGGGTTCTTCTGAACCATATGCTGATGATCTTACAAGATCTCTCTTTTATGTGGTGGGTCATTTTTTTTTTTTTAGCTGCTTTCAAAATTCTTTGTCTTTGTCTTTTGATAATTTGATTTTAATGTGTTCTAGTGTGATCTTCTTTGGGCTCATCCTAATTTGGTTTGTGGGGCTTCTTGAATCTAGATGTCCATTTCCTTCCACACAATTGAAAATTTTTCATCCATCATTTCTTCTTATAAGCTTTCTGCCTCTTTTTCTCTATCTTCTCTTCCTGGGACTCACACAATATGTATATTTGTTCAGTTGATGATGTCCCATAAGTCCTCTAAGATTTCTTTACTATTCTTCATTCTTCTTTTTGTTCCTCTGATTTAATAACTTCAAATGACCTATCTTTGAGTTCACTGATTCTTTCTTCTGCTTGATCAGGTCTACTCTTAAACCTTTTTAGTGATTATTTTTTCAATTTAGTTATTATATTCTTCAGTTCCAAAATTTCTATGTGGTTCTTTTTAATATTTTCTGCCGCTTTGTTTATAATCTTATTTTGTTCATGCATCATTTTCCTGAGCTTGTTGAGCATCTTTATGATGATTATTTTGAATTCTCTGTCAAATAATTCATATACTTTGATTTACTTAAGGTTAGTTTCTAGAGATTTATATTATTCCTTTTGTTGGGCCATATTTCCCTCTATCTTTGCATGCCTTATTACTTTGTACTGGAGTCTGTGCATTTGAAAAAATAGTCTTTATAGATTGGTTTCATACAGGGAAAGAATGTCACCAATCAGCACAACTAGAGATTTGGGGGCCTTTCAAACCTTTTCTCTTCTGTGGATTTATGTGTTGTAAATTCCTAATTATGGAGATTTTGCTTCTTTTTTCAGGAATTTATAATTTCTTATTCCCCCTTGTGTCTGTCTGTGGTACTACAAGTTCCCAAGTGCTGCTGTAAGCTCCCCAGCTCTTTTTTGTTTGTCTGTTTGTTTTAAGATTTTATGTATTTGAGAGAGTGAGCATGAGGACAAGATGGACAGAAGGAGAAGGAGACTCCCCACTGAGCAGGGAGCCCAGCAGGGGATCATGACCTGAGCTGAAGGCAGATAATTTGATAATTTGATTTCAAAAGAACACACTGAACCACCCAGGTGCCCCATCCGCAGCTGTTTTTGTTTCTCAGTAGCTCCATGGCATTCAGGGTATGCCAGGTTTCACTATGCTATGAGTTGGGTAAGAAAGAAACCAGTCCCTCAGGTCACCATCCAAAGAGCTGGAATACTAGACACATACTCCAACTCTTTTTCTCCCTGCAAAGAAGCCAGAAGTTGGGGATTTTTTCCTGTTCATTTTGCACAGTGAAGGGACAGTGGCAACTGAATTTGTGTTGTGCTAGTTCAAACCATTGGCTTTGCTCTCAGAGGCTCCCAAACTGGCACCTATTCCTATGCAGCATTTAGATTTAGACAGGACAGAAACTAGTCCCTTGGATAGCCTCTTAAAAAGTCTGAATGCTAGACATATTTTCCAGTTTTCTCCTTCCTACCCCAGGGAAAAGCTGGTAGTTGGGAGTTTCCTCCTGATTACACTGCATTCTGCTAGGGAAGGAGTTCTGGAAAAGGAGTGCCACAAAATTTCTCACTGATTTCTATGTTACTTATCTGTAGTGCAAGAGTTTTTAATTTCTGAATTTCTCACAAAGAGAATTAGTCTGTGTATTGTTGACTTGGGTTGTTTCCATGGGGAAAAGAGAGTCTGGGGCTTTCTATTATACCATCTTGCTGATGTCACCCAACATAAATTTTTAAAGTAATTTTTAAAGCACACTTTACAGCGCCTGGGTAGCTCAGTCAGTTAAGCCTTTGCCTTTGGCTCAGGTCACAATCCTCAAATCCCAGGATCAAGTCCTGCACTGGGCTCCCCACTCAGTGAGGAGTCTGCTTCTCCCTCTCCCCACTCTCATGCTCTCTCTCTCTCTCTAATAAATAAAGTATTTTAAAAAGATGAAGTTTGCTTTATACAAGTAGGTATAAACTTATCTTTTGACTTTTAACTTATAAAAATGATTGACCCATATACAAAGCCGGTTTCTTTATGGTTTTTAGCTTATGGAATCTTTTTTTTTTTCCTAGCTATAAAGCGTTTTCTTTTTCCTGTTGCCTTACATATGCTGGAAAGAAGTTGTGTCAAGTGAGAAGCTACAGAAATATTCCAGTCAAGAAGTTGTTTTTTCTCTTGGTCAACTGGAATGAAACGTAAGTTTAATCTTTATTTTGGCAGTATCATTTATCTAAAAAAGATCAAGGATTATTTTTTCCCTTTTTTTCTTAGGTAGAAGGTATGATTTTTTTTTTGTAAATATTGAAAGTTGATGTGATTCAGTGATGGACAAATACACTCATGCTAATAGATAATGGGACCATACAGGTCAACAGATAAAAGTCCATTGAGAAACCTAGACAAATGTCCAATCCACATTACCTAACTGATCAAAAAAGGAAATTGGAGAAAACAGAATTATTAATCCTTCACAGACTGTGGATATAAGAGATACCCTCTATTGGGGATTGGGACAAGTAGAATCCGGGTATACCAAAGACGAAAGAAATTACCTAATAACGTACTCATGTACTGTCTTTTCCCATGAAAGCCAATTATAAATTTATTAATACAGGCAAGTTTTTTGATAATAATTATCTGTGCATGTGTAAACTACCATCTAGTTTTGGTTGACTGGCTCCTACTTTCTCATTGTATAGAGGCATTAAATCAGGATGAAAAAAGGACCTTCTTAACACAATTCATTTGTTCTTGCTCTCCTCTGTCCCCCTCCCACTTCCTCAAGTCCTTACTTTACTCAGAATCTTAGGGGGCTCACAGGCCCTATCTATGGCTACTTTGTGATTACTTCCACTTTTCCTTGCTGTTTCTATGACACTGTTCCACCAGCTATCAGTCATTTCTCTAGGGTTTCTAATACTACACAGACAGCCAATTTTCTTTCCACCTCATATAGAAGAAAACTAACCCACTGTCCATCAGCCCTTTCACCAGATCTGGCTTTCTTGGGAGATGATTTGACTCCCTGGTATTGTGCTTTTTCACTGAGAAATATGTGCTGAAATTTCTGGGACTCTCAGGATGGCGTTATATAGCACCATTTATCCTAATCTCAGTGTTACCACAATCAATGGACACATGATATGTGGCCTTCAATTTTTTCCTTCTATGCAAAAGCAGTTCCTCTTTCCTCTAGGACTATGACATTTATCTTCCCTTCTTTGGTTAGATTCTTAATTCCTTTGACCAAAGACCTGATCTTCAATTACAAAATCCTCTTCTATTGCACAGAATGAATTCTGCTTGTAAAATTCTTCAGTGGTTCCCCAATTTTCATAAGGTAAAATACAAATCCTTTATCAAAGCACACAAGGCTCTCAGTGGTTTGGCCCCTGCCTACCTCTGCACCTTTGTCTTTTGAGTTAGCTCCACTCCAGTCATTCTGTATCTGATCTATTTACCCTAATTTAAACTGAGAAATATGCCTCTGCTAGGGGTCTTCTTCTGTGAAGAGCACAGTGCCTTTACTGCCCACCTTGGGAACACCTAATTATCTTTCAAGACACTTTTTCACCTTCTCTGTAAATTCCTTTTTGTATCATCGAAATAATTGGCCATTTTTGTTGGTTGATGTGAACCTCAGTCTCCTCTCTTATGGTCCCTTACTGAATGTGTTTGCTTATATTTCTGTTTGCTTTTGCCATATGATACAAAGATCTTTTGGCTTTGTTTTCGTCATGTTATTTTCTTTGTAAAATTGTTCATTCTGTCAATAGCAGCATAAGCAGATTGAGATAAAGTAAGAATTCAGTAAGTGTTCTTCAGCAAATGAGTGAATTTCATGTAACAAGTGATTCTTTTAAAATGTTATTAATCAGCTCAATGACAAAATTATTTTTCTGACTTAATTAAAACTTACTCCTAGCTATTTCAAAAAATCAGATTAATTTTCAGCTGATGGATATGTGCTATGATTTAAACAATTCAGGAAAAAACATACTAATTCTACAGTCAATTTTTTAAAAATCTGCCTCCCCCAAATTCCCCAAAAAAGTTGAAAATCATTAGTGTTCTTAGAAAAACTACACTGATATATTATTCTTCTCTTCCTTCAGGACTGTACATGTATTATCTTTCCTGTGGGTTTTTTGCTTCCCCCAATAGTATAGTTAGTGACCTCAACCTAGAATCATTTTATTTCCTTTCATGTAAAAAATAGTTATTTACCATTTTTAGGTGCCTGTTGTATTTTTTATATATTTTATTAACATATATCTATTACACGATAATTGATTACACATTTCATTACTAGACTATACACTTAAGGACAGAAACTTTATTGTTTAGTAATATATGACATAGATTTTGACTACATATTTCAATCATCATAGTATATCCCAAATACATTATCTCACCCTAACAATAAAAATATGAATCAGGTATTATCATCCTTTTTTAAGGATCAGAATATTGAGGTTTATAAAGCTTAATTAACTTGCCCTAGGTTCCACAATTAGTAAATGGCAGAACTACTGCTCAGACCTACTCTTGACTCCAAAGCTAATATTTTTACTGTGATTTCTACACTGTTTCTTAAAACATATAAAATCCTTGACAGAGTATTTATGTTTTGTAAATACTTCTTGCATCTTCAATTTTAAAGAACAAAGTTCTATTCCATTCTCTTACCAGCAGCCACCTCATTTACCCCCTCTGCTTTAGGGCAAAACCCTTCCAGAGAATTGTGTATATTCACTTTGTTTAGTCTTTTTTTTCCCCCCCTCTGCTCTAAAATATACTCTAATTAGGCTTTCATCACCTCTGCTTCACTGAAATTACCCATTGGAATCACTAGTGACCTGCACAGTTGAATCTAGTGTTGATTTCTCAGTCTTCATCTTACATGATCTATTTAGGAACATATGACACTGTTGATCTCACCCTCAGTCTTGGCTCCCATATTCTTTTCACTTTCCTTCTGCTATGCTGGACATTCCTTCTCTATCTTCTTTTCTTTCCCCAGGCTGATCATGGTCTCAGCACTATGCCTCTTTTCTGTTGTATTTACCTTGCTTCTTTATTTCTCTCTTATCATTACATAGCATAAAATGCCATCTATATGCCAACATCTCCAAAAATTATATCACAAACCAAGTCTGTGACTCCATACATATACATTCAACATGTCTAAAACAATACTCTTAACCTTACATTCCAAACTTGTTCCATCCATGGATAGCCACCCTGGATTATCCTTTTCAGTTCCGGTTGTTCAGGTCATATCCTTACTCTGAATCTCTTTCTCTCAGACCCCATGTACAGGAAATCCTACAGGCTCTATCTTCAAAATATTTCCAAACTATTACTTCTCATCACTTTCAGTGGCCTAGGCCCCCATTCTCTCTCCCCTGAATTACCACAGTAGCTATATAATGGTCTCCCTACTTCTCTTGCAGCTCCTATAGTCCTTCTCACACAGTGGCTAAAGTGATTTCTTTTAAAATATAATTCAGGCTATGTCATTTTTCTGTTTAAAAATCCTGAAATGGCTCTCTGTTTCATTCACAAAAATCAAAGTCCTTACAGTGGTTCATTTTTATATATCAGTATTAAACATTGTGAGTTTCTAAACATTGTGACTTTATTAAGTTTCCCATTATCACTATGAAAAACTTACTCCAATCTTAGGAAAACTATCTCAGATAGAAGAAAAACACATTTCAGAAAACTTTTAATATTTATTCCTTTTCAACAGTAGAGTAAGGCAAATATATGGTTAAAACTTAAGGTCTATGACAGCTGCTTACATAAAAAGAAGGAATTCAACTTCACTTATTGAATTGTCCCTTAAAGTATTTTTCTTCTTTTTTTTGTCTAAAAGTTCATTCATTTGACTTTTTTACTAGCTATGTAGAAGTTAAAAAAAAAGATTTCCCAATGAGTGAGAGATTATTCTAGCTTTAAAAGTCCATATGTATTCAAGAAATGAATAAATAACTATTTAGAGAGCCTGTATTCCTACCATAGAATAATTTATTTTTATTAATAAAAATGACAAACTAGAGATTGACAGTAACTATTCACTGTAACTTATTGAATTTTTGTCATTCTTGATATGAAAGCTCACTAATAAGTGAAGTTATACATGAAGAAGCCAGACTCAATGAGAAAAAGAACACTGTAGATTATGTGAGGAATAAAGTGAAATTATAGCTTCCATTCTAGCATAGAAATATGAAAACTGAATAGAAAATCAATTACAAGTAAAAGAGAGAACATTCAAGAAATAACTGCGTTCCACAAGATCATTAACATTTTGTGTTGAGTTTCAGAGCTTCCTTTAAGCTGAGAAGTATGTCCACATTATCTTTTTTTTAAGATTATTTATTTATTTATTCATGAGAGACACACACACAGAGAGAGAGAGAGGCAGAGACACAGGCAGAGGGAGAAGCAGGCTCCATGCAGGGAGCCCAATGCAGGACTCGATCCCGGGACTCCAGGATTGCACCCTGGGCCGAAGGTAGGCGCTAAATCGCTGAGCCACTCAGGGATCCCCATGTCCACATTATCTTAAGTAAATATTATGAGTATGAAAGAACGAGAGAGAAAAGAAAGACTTCTGTATATCTTAACATAAAACAAATTAATTTTTTAGTAATATAAATTTTTCTAATCTTGAAAAAATAGATTAGCACCATAGTGTTTCCTTTATTTTCCTTTCCTACTTTTGATTAGAATTAAATTTCATCTGTCTACAATGGCTAATATAAATTATTACATCATTGATTGAAAAATGAATGTATTGCTGATATACAACCTACCATTTGCCACCTATTGTCTTATACAATGTTTGATCAATTATATGGATAAGGAAAAATGGTGCTTATTAGTCATAGGGCCAATATTTGAATGCAGACATATCCAGATCCAAACTTCTGACTTGTCCTCTCCACACAGGTTACATATTGAGATCTCAGCATTATTATTAATTCAATTATATCATGCCCTGCATATATTACCCCATCCCAATTTCCTCTTTCTTTCATATTTCTGTATTAAAGTTATCCACTATAACGTAATATAGAAGCCTAGAATTTATCTTGAATTCTTCATTATCCTAATCTACTAATATGCTGTCAGTCAAATATTAGTTATTCATTTTACCTCTAAAATAGCCCTTCTGTCTTCCCTC